GGGGGGGGGGGGGGGTTATAGCCAAGTTGTTTACTTAAAGCTTTTCAGGTAAAATAAAGGCAAAATCTCTGATTTATTTTTTTTAGTAGTAATTACATAAGGAATTCTCCATGCATCTTGAGTTTTCCTCCAGGCTCCCCAGCCCATTGAAGCTAATGGGAGCCTGAGTAGTTCTGCATTTTCTGCAAGCAAGCTATTGCTTTGCATTTCCCACAACCCCATTTTTAACTGCATGCATGTCTAGTATCAGCACTTACTTTAGTTCTCATTGGGTGCATCTACAGGTCACGGTGCTTTAGTACTTCTTTTTGGAAGTACTAAAGTACAGTATGGTATGGATGGTTACTGCATGGTGCGCAGTTAGGTTTTGCCGCTACGTCACTGTAGCAGCACACTATACCAGGGAGTGTGCCGCTAGAGCAACATAGTTGGCAATCATGTGTAGACCCCCAGGATCGCAGCGTCACTGTAGGGTGATCTGTAGTTGTGCCCTTTGGGTACTTTACACGCAGCAAAAATGCCATCCTACTGTATCTATTGAAAAACATGAGGGAGGCTTTAATCTCTTACCCTTTTAATTCAACCATGTACACAAAATAGTTTTGTCTATCTGCTGTAGTCAGAAGTAAACAGAATTTTAAGATTAATCTTAAAAGTCAATTGTAATCACATTTTCCTTTTTATTTATACATCCATATTCTCTCAAAGGAAGTTTTGTTTTGATTTACGCTTTACTCTGATGCATAGCATCTGCTAGGTGTTTTTTTAATGCCTTAAATACCGCTCAGTAGAACAGAGGTAACCAAAGACTCTTGTACTTCCATTTTATTCTCTGCCTAAACAGCATGATTGACATATGCTGTCCAGTGAAAAGTGTGAAAAAGCTTAGAAGATGTCACTTGTATTGCTTTACTAAGAAACCATTACATATAAATTTTAATTTTGGTCAGCGTTGAAGCAATAGAAAGCAAACTACTTAACTTAAACTCCATTTAAACAACTACATTCATGGGTCCTTTAAAAAAAAAACCACACTTGTCTTTCTGATCGCTGTCGCCTTGTAGAAGGCAATGGAGCCTCATAACGTACAGCAGTAAAAGCTTAATTTCCATACGTAGAATGCATTAAACCTACTTCAGTCCAATCTTGTTCTTCTAGACCCGTGGTCCTCAAACTTTTTAGACTCACGGCACCCCTCTCAGAAAATCAGCCTGCTCTCAGCTTTCCCTTGTGTTTTTTGACTACAAAATAATAGAGCGGTTTTTCCGTTGCAAACAACTCAGAAAGATCTTAACAGGACAGGCTATTTCTGACACCACGAATATCTATCTAAAATCTCTGGGGTTAACCTGTGAATCGTGTTTGTGCCCCTAAATGCTGAATAGCATCCTGCAGCACTCTTAAAAAAAAAAAAATCTCAAAGCACCCTAGGGTGCCACGGGGCCCTGGCTGAGAATTGCTCTTCTAGGCTCTATTCATGCACTTGAACACTTTCGGTTTACACAACAAGATCTTGCCCGACACCCCTAAACGGTGCAGACACCTGCTCTAGTCTCCTGCCTTAAGCGGTGGCGCCTAGTAGGGCGGCAGGGAGCCCCAAAGCGGACCTGGAGAAGAGCAGCCCGGGACCCAGCGCGGTTACAGCAGCAGAGCCGGACTCGCCCTATGCACAAGCGCGAGCGGGTGCTGGAAAAGCCTCCACCTGCCCCGCGTCCTGTCCGGTCCTGTCCTGGCTCGCGGCGCTGGCACGAGGGGCACGGGCGGGCCGGGGAGCCTGGAGGGAAGCCGCCCGCACCGCGCGCCCCGGCAGGCTTTCTACTTGACCGCTCCCGCTCCCGCTCCCGCTCGCCGGCCGCAGGGCGCTGCTCC